TAAATGATATCTTCATGATGAAGGAAGTTGATTTTAAAAATAATAAAATCCCACCGCCTGTGAGATTTATAAATATTAAAAGACTCCACCACCCTTGTTGAATAGATATAAAGAAAGGAGAAGAGATAAGATACTATCTAATCACTTTTAGAAAAGGAAACCTGTTGAGAGAAAAAGAGTGTTGTGGCGGTGAGAAGTATTCTTGAAGAAAATTATTATTTAAAGCTGTTTGAAGAACTTGTGATTTGTTGTGTGTTTTAAACTTACAGAATCTGTGTTGTTAAGGTGAGTTTTTAAACTGCTGTTGATTATAAGCTATGAGTTTTGATAAACTAAAACCTTTATAATTATAGATATATAAACTGTTGAGTTTTGGTGAATTTGGGTTTTTAAGGAATCTGGTGAATATTGTTTTATAAACAGTTTGAACAAAGTATTTATGTTATGAATTTTAAAGTTGTTTTGGAAAGAGGAAACAGTTACTGCGCTTTAAAACAGTTTTGGGAAATGAGATTCCGTTTTAAAAGACTTAAAGGAAGTTTGATACTTGGAAATCATTGAAAGAATAGGTTGTTCTTGTGTTTGAAGGTTTTAATGATAAAACTGTTTTGGAAACCATTGCTGGTTGAAAACCATATAGGACATCTCAACAAGATGGTTGTGACATCGGTCTGTCTTCGTTTAGGATTAATCTATAGATTTTGTCGATAAAACTATAGAGATTGTTCCATCAAGACGGTTGTGACTTCAGTCTGTCTTAGCTTGGAACTAATCTATAGATTTTGAGGAGGAAATAAGGGTGACATATTAAGGAGAGATGTACCATGGGATAAGGGTGACATATCAAGGAGAGGTGTACCTTCGGTTATAAGGGTGGCATATAAAGGAGAGGTGTACCTTTGGATATAAGGGTGGCAATTGAGTATGGTTATTATAGCTTTTGCTATTATGTCTTTTAAGATTACAACAGATTTGAGTACTTACTTCTTTGTGATTTGAGGACTCAAAGATGTTGTTCTTATTAGAAATAATAGTATTGATATTATTGAGAAGGAGAAAACTTGGCCTATGACCATTGGTTTTGATTGTAAACTGTTTTGGATCAAAGGTTTGGATACAGAAGAACCGGAGAGGCTCTGGTTGTTCCTTGAAAGGAACCAGAGGGGCTCTGGTTGGTCCTCATTGATGAACCAGAGGGTTCTAGACATTGATTGGGAATTATGCAAAGTCATTTCTAAATGTTTTAGTTGGACCGGAGGCTCTATATCAATAGATAAGAGCTTCTGTGTCAAAATCTTATTTTTAGAAATTTTCAAAAAGAGTTTTATACTTGAAAAGTTTTCTTACAAAGTAAAGATAGACTAGAGGCTCTGGTTGGCCTACACGGGTTGGACCAGAAGCTCTGGTTGGTCTTGCTTTTGGAACCAGATGCTCTGGTTGACCTACGCGGGTTGGACCAGAAGCTCTGGTCATGCATGATCTTTTCAAAAAAACGTATTCTTAGCCATGGAAAAGCTATTCTAATATCTATGAGGTGGATCTATGAATTATTTGAGAAATCTCACCAAGTAAGAGGTTCTGGTTGGCTTAACCAGAAGCTCTGGTAGAGGAACCAGAGGGGCTTTGGTCCTCTTGTTTGTTGAAATATTTTTTAAGTCTGTCTTTGGAACCAGAGGTCCGATGGACTCAAATAGAATGTGATTTTATCTTTTATTATATGGAATGATATATTTGAATAAATGTTTTGGTGATCATCACCCTGCATTACATAAAAAGGGAACCTCACTAGACATTCATGTCTAACCCTCATTTGCATTTTTAAATATGTGTGCAAGTAATACCAGTTATAATGATAGTAAAGGAAAAGAAAAAATGTGAATTATTTCCCCATGTGCTTAGCTTTATGAAGATAATTTTGGATGTGTTTTAAAGAATAGATGTTATGGATATTGGAGCATGTATTTTAGAATTTTTGAGTTGTATATTTTGTATTATAGACTCTTGTATTATGGACCTTTATGGGCTTAAACATGTATTTTATGTATTAAATATGTGGTATATGCAATGTGAGGTTTGGGGGTGTTACATTAATCTTAGCGATAAATAAACGAAATGAATTGTAAGCCACAGTGACTACCGGCGTAATAAATAAAGACCAGGGACGAAAATAGAAATTTTCGACATATCACATGGACGAAAAATGTAATTTACTCTAATTTAAATCAAAAATTTACTCATTATTGTGATGGATAAAATTTTAAAATACAATATCTTGATTGAAAATAATTTGAAAAAATATCGTTGTAATAAGGAAAAACAAAATTTAAGAAAAAAAAGTTGTTATTTTATTCATTTAGCTCTATATAATAAAACCATTAATCAATAATAATAATAATGTTATTGGTAAATTTATGTTTGTTCGTTATATTCATTTAGCATTTTAACGAACATAAACAAACACGAACAAACTCATCTTCTTAATGAATAAACGTAAACAAAAATAATTATTCTTTTATTTGTCCGTATTCATCTTTTTGTTTGGTTAAAATAACATGAACGAATAGGCACAAGCTTCCATTCATTTTCGTATTCTCTTTGATTTATTCACAGCCTTAAATTCAAAATACAAAAACATAAAATTAAATCAAGAGTAAATTACAAATTTGGTCCCTATGGTTTACACAAAATAACCCTATGCATCCCTAAATTAAAATAATTATAGAAAATGTGCCTGTGGTTTAAATTTTCATACGTCTTTGGTCCCTTTGCCCTAACACTGTTAAAGACATTCGTTAAGTTGGTTAACTCAAAGGGAATATTAGTTCTTCTATTGTGTTTTCATTTTATATTGAAAACTTATCTCTTTCTTTAAAAACGATAGGGACCAGGAATGTAATTTGATATATATATATATATATATATATATATACACACACACATATGTAACACATATTATATATACATAACATATATACACACGAATCGGTCCCAGTTTCCGATGAAACAACCCCTGCCTCCCTACGACCAACGTCTCCAGCATCCCTCAGCCATCTCTGGCCTCCCCACCATCAGCGACCACTGCCCCTTCCCTCTTCTACCTCATCCTCTTCTTCACATCAAAGAACACATCGGCTTCCATCTCCGTTGACCTTCATCCAAATCTACGATCCACGATCCATGATCTTCCATCGAAACCCATCTTCATCTCTATTGAAACATATCATATATCTCTGAGATGAACAAGAACGCCATCTCCGACTAACTCCCCCACCCCACAACCGTTGGGTTCGATGGTGTTTGAGATGCAGTTTCTTCTTGATTTAGTCTCTTGCCATGGAGGTTGCGGTGGAGGAAAAGAGGAAGGTAGACGAAAAGGTTTAATCCTAATAGAAGCAATCTCCTTTCATTAATATGCTTCTCTTGCCATGGTGTTCACCCTTGTTCAGCCTTCACTTCTAAATCTGATCCACACAAAAGCAATTAGATCCTGCTTCAAGTTCAAGAACCAAAAACACAATCTATACACATTATTTGATTGCAAGGTTCAATTAACAAACGAAATGGGCCAACGTGGGGAAGGGCAGGGGGTTTTGTGTCCGTGTGTTCGTTTGAAACCATTTATAAGTTTTATTAATTAGTTTGATGTTCATACAATGTCTTCGATGTCATTGTTGATCTTGATGTTGATTTAGTTTTCCAAATAGTCTAGATCTTCATGATAATTAATTGATTTTATGTAATTGGATAAAAAACGAAAATGAGAACTAAAACCGGAGAAGATGGTAGGTAGGTTGTCGAAGGAGATGGTCAGCTAAGGAAGGGGTCTACCAAACACATGGAAATATCTAATTGTGTTGGAATAAATAATATATATTTTTAATTAAAAATGAGAAAATTGATTAAAATGACCTTCTAGTTAATAGATCTTTTTAACAGTGTTAGAACAAAGGGACCAAAGACATATGAAAGTGTAAACCACGAAGACGTTTTCCACATTTAGTTTGATTTAGAGATTCATAGTGTGATTTTATGTAAACCTAAACACCAAAATTGTAATTTACTCTTAAATGAATGACGTTATACTGCTACATTTTGCATAATAGGATTTCTGTAATATATATTTTATGTGCCCAATGCCATCATGTTCAAGTTCCACCACTTCATAAACATTATTAATAAAATCAAAATAATCCATACATAGTTTAATAAAAGAATAAACAAATTTTGATACACTTGTAACTCATAATATAGATGGTTACAACTATATTCCTTACATCAATTGAATTTCTTATGATATAGTTAACAATTCGGTCTTTAACGAGTTAATCGTTTATTTCGAATTTGAACTTAATGATTCTTGAGCACGAAATGATTTCGAAAACAAAATAAAACTCGTTTAACTTAACCAATTCAATTTCATAGCATCAATATTCGACTCAGCTTGTTCGAAGGCCCAATTAATCTTTCCAGTTGAGTTGAACCGAATCAAGCCATCAAGTATACACATTTCCGAGCCAAACATGTTAATATGTTCACAAATCATACAACCAAAATATAAAAGTTATCAAACTTTAAGTCAATAAACGAGTTAACCTATCTCGAGGTCAAGCTCATAAACGAGCTTTGAATACATAAATTTTAGGTATAATGTATTATTCAAATTTATTAAACAAATACCAAGCTCGAACTTGAGCATTAAAAAAGTATTCGAGTTTGAGCGTTGCTTTAAAAAAGTTATTCGACCTTGTATATACTTTTTCAACCTGAGCTTAAATAACTCATTACTAGACTCGACTCAACTCGTCAACATTCATAAGCAAACTAGTCTTAAAATGTTCCTAGAATAAAAAGAGCATTAAAAGTGTGTGTATTATGAACAATTAAGTACTATAGGGTGCGAAATAAAAAGGTAAAAAAACTATAAGGATCATTTTGCAAAATGCAATAACATGTGGCCTTTTAGAGATCTTTCACGGTTGCCGTCTGAAGAATTCAATGACGAAAATGGAAATACCGAAAGGCCAGAACGTTGTGAACTCCGGCGGCCGGAGCGTGGTGTATGAGCTGCCGCTAGGTGAAGCTGCCGCCACCTTCAACCTACATAAGGCAGTATGCAGCCACGGTTTTTTCATGACCGCCCCAAACCACTGGGACCCTCTCTCAAAAACCCTCCGACGGCCTTTACGCCTCCTAGATTCTTCTTCATCCTCCGTTACCGTGCAAATTTCTCAACCGCCTCATTCCTCACATCTACTTCTCCGTGTATTCGACACCGAATCTCTCTCTCTTGGACATCAGCAATCGTTAATGGTTTGTTGCTTCCTTTTCTATTTTATGTGAATAATCGAATTTTTTATTCAAATGGAAGAGAAAGCGGTTTAATTTGACGATAAATCTCAAGATTTAGCATTTCTTAAAGTTGCTAGTTAGTTTAACATGCTGTAAATAGTTTGTATGGGTGTCATTTTATGTAGATAATTAATAGTTTCATTGAGATTTTGAAGTGGAAATGACTGTCGTTTTACTCTCAGAAGTATGTGGATTCTAGTTTTGGAAGGGAAGTATTGTGCTTCTTGTAGTTTGTTAATCTGTGGGTATCGGATTTGGATTGGTTGTTGCAGGAGCAAGTGAGGAGAATGCTACGTTTGTCAGAGGAAGAGGAGAAAACTGTAAGGGAGTTTCAAGAGATATATGGTGAAGCAAAAGAATCAGGTTTTGGGAGAATCTTCAGGTCTCCAACACTGTTTGAAGACATGGTTAAGTGCATTCTTGTGTGCAATTGCCAGTTACTTCTCTCTCCCTTTTTCTCTATATATCTCATCATGGAGTATTGAAATGAACCTTATGTGTGTTTGCTCAAATACTTGATATCGTAGTAGGAAGATGAGTAATAGTGATGCACACTAATACTTGTGAGTCAAATGCCACCTTCTTTTGGGCAAGTATGTAATATTAGGTTCTACTACCTGAAGAAAATTATAGCATTATAAGCGAGAATTATGAGAACATGAAAGTAAATAAAATATTTGAGGTAGTACTATGCCAAGCACTTTTTTAGGTATCACCTTCAAACCAAACTTTTAATCATGAAGTATTGTAGTCCTATTTATATATGTGTATATATGCTACACTGACCATTGATGAATGTATATTCAAATCTTAAGTGTATGATGAATTAGGACAAGCTAAGCTCTACTCTATGTTTGTTTGATGCAATAGTTGTGGATTATTCTTCCCAAATCGTTAAGAACCTATCATGCTAGTCATTGATGTTAGATTGGCCTTTCAGTGCTGACTAGCTACTGTTGCTTGGAGTAAACAACCATGACAAAGGTGGGAACTTAAGTTTCTAAATATGTTATTTCAGGTGGATTCTTGTACTTTAGATTGATGAGTTCACTAATACTTCAGTTGATGCATTGAAACTAGCTCTAGTTATCTTATAGCTTGTCATTATTGCTATGCATGCTGGGGGGAATTTGATTGAATGATAGTCATTGAAGTGCATATATATGTAACACTAACACCTATGGGATGTACTGGTTGGTTGGCCCATCAAGAAAACATAGTATACGACTAGGTTGAGTGAGATGTAAATGCGCAAGTGGATGTGTAAACAGACAATGGCTAACATATGTTTCTGTAAAGTTGAAAATAAGTATTAAAGGTATTTCTATGCACTGGTTAGAAGAAGTGACTTATATATGGTTGAGATCAAGAAACACCTTAAGCACAAGAAAAAAAATCTCCCATTTAGTTTAGACTTTAGAGCAAAGAGTAAGCTTTAACTCAACTTAGTAAGTTGGGTGATTTAGAAACTTCTAGTCCCTTGGCTTCTGATTTTTCACTTTAGGTCTCTATGTGATAAATGTTTTCGACTTTTCACGTGCTAGGAACACAAGGAATAGTTATTGTTTAAGTTGCAAATAACTTTTAACTTATTATTTTCTCTTTCATTCCTAAGTACCACACTGACCCTTTCTTCCCTCACCCACAAACCTCTTCATCTATCATGTTTCACTATCAACACCTTTATTTCCATCATCATCTCTGACATTTACAACTTTAATGCCATTTGCTCTCCCTCCACCAATAATTAATCACCCAATTTTGGATCAACAAAAAATGAAGATACCGTACAATGTCATCAACCAAAGGGCATAGAAGCAGCTCTAGGACAGGGTGCCATTGACCAAGTCATATATGTTTATCAAGCATTCGATGTCATTGATTATTTGCCCTTCCAAGCCGCCAAACCAAACTCTTCTGTGTATGCTAAACGGTAACAAAGTAAATTGGTAATATTTAACAATTGCGGGACCCTAAATGTTAATAGATTTTAGAAGGCCTTGTGAGTTGTTAAGTACTATTTCAAAATAAAAGGTTCTTAGAGAAACTTGGTTTAGGTCCTCTCTTTCGTTTGATGACGTTCGTCTTCTTGGAATAACGCTAGACACTATTCTTCAACGGTGACCACCACCCTTTGTTGAAGTCTGAAGTCTTGTTTGATTCTAATTGATAAGAGGAGGTGTTGAAGTCTGAAGTTTAACTTCTGATTGATAAGAGGTGGTGTAGAAGTCTGAAAGCAGAATCTGAGACTGTTTTGGTAAAATGATAAATTCTGAATGTGTGTAATTGTCTATTTTATCCATCACTTGTTTATTCATGATTAAGAAATATACATCTAAATTGAAAAAAAAAACTAGCAATTCATTTGAACCAAAATATACCATTGTCAAACTTTAACAAATTCAAATCCTAATAAAGCACATCAAGTGACCCAAACACAATAAAATATATAAACAAAGCCTCATAACAACTTAAATGAATTTTCATGTTACAAGTTGATCAGTTCAGCTATAAATTACCTTTCTTCAAAGTTCCCACTGCTTAAACAAGACATCCATGACCAAGGGGCCATTTACCCAGATGCTTACCCGTTAAGCGCTTACCAGCAAAAGTCAACACTCTCACTTATTTTATCGGGTAAGACTGTAGTCCATCAAAACGGTATCATATTCAACAATTAACCCGGTATGTTCTTACCGGGTAAGAGTGGTAACCCTCACTTACCGGGTAAGACTTTCCGTTCTTATTATCGCTCTTACTGGGTAAGATTATCGGTCCTTCCCATGTTCATCCAGTAAGGTAAATTACCGGGTAAGCATTTAGGCGCAACGGGGAGCTTCAGTCTTCATGCCGTGAAAGTTTTTGAGTAGCAATGCTAGATTAAGAAGGGGTAAAGCCATAACTCTGTCCTCAACTGCTTTGACCTGCTCACTTAGAGTGAAGATCAATAATGGGTGGAAAGGAGTTCACGCAGCACCTAACTTGATTTCTAACCAATTAAAGGAAGCTTACAAAATATCTTTGATGATAATGATTTTGAACTTATTTGTCAATTAGCTTTTTGTTCATTTTTCAGGTGGTCCAGAACTTTGAGCATGGCGAGGGCCCTTTGTGAGCTTCAGCTGGAGCTGCAGCGCCCTATGGTCACAGAAGATGATAAATGCACAAGTCGTACCATTATGAAGACACAGTTTTCTCCAAAAACTCCTGCAGGAAAAGAGGCAATCAAACGTAAGAGCAAATCGCAAGAAAAATCAAGAAAAGTAGCAAAAAGGTGTGCAGAGGTTAAATCAGCAATGGAAGCAGATGCAACCTTAATGGTAGAAACTGATAAGGAGTCAAATCAGAAACGCGATTCCTGTGTCAAGACACTGGAAGCAATTTTTCCGGATTTTGTCGATGAGAAGCCCAAATTGGGCGACCACAGTGGCATTGGAAACTTTCCTAGCCCGAAAGAACTAGCAAACCTTGATGTAAATTTCCTAAAAAAGCGCGGCAATCTTGGTTATAGAGCAAATCGCATATTGGATCTTGCTCAAAGTGTTGTGGAAGGTACAATTCAACTTGGGCAACTTGAACAAGATTCATCTTTATCCAATTACATCAACCTGAATGAGCAGCTGGGAAAGATTAATGGTTTTGGTCCTTTTACATGTGCCAATGTACTCATGTGCATGGGATTTTACCATGTAATTCCATCAGATTCTGAAACAATAAGGCATTTAAATCAGGTTTCTTTAATCTTTTCTGCTTGCATTTGTGTAACAGACAAATCACCTGAAGATGCACAAAACAGCCTGAAGCCCGAGTCTAGTAAGGCCGGTCGGCCAGGCCTCAAAGCCCGATCAGGCCGAATATTTTAGTGCAGGCCTAGGTCCGGCCCGGAAAATCCCAATCAGGCCCTTTTTAACCCAAATCCTTGCCCGGACTGGGCCTAAATGCCCGGTCCTTTTTTTGCTCGCTGAAATTGGGCTTGGAAGGCCTTGCCCTTGTGCATCTCTAAAATCATCTGTCCCTAAAATTCATGTTCCATCGATCAATATCCGACAAATCCTTACTTTATCTAATTTGTTTTGTTATTCTCTCTATTTAATAAATATAATAATGTGTCGAGGGTTGATTGGTAAACATGGAGTTTGGGGACATTGTGATTTGCATTCATTTTGTATTCATTTTGTATTCATTTTGTTTCAGGTCCACGGAAAGAAGTCGACAATTAAAAGCATCCAACATGATATCGAAATGATTTATACCAAGTATGCGCCGTTTCAGTTCTTGGTGTACTGGTATGCTTCTTGTATTCTTATATTGTTTTGCTTCAAATTGTGTTTCTTATTGGATTGTTTGCTGAATTAGGTCAGAAATATGGTCTTTTTATGAAGAAAGATTTGGGAAGCTGAGTGAATTGCCTAACTCTGATTATAAACTCATAACGGCTGCGAATATGAGAGGCAAGGCTGGTATACGCTGAGGAGGTAAAATATTATGATGAAATTACTCATTGTACGACTAAATGTGGATGTTAATGATCGACAAAATGCATCAAAGTACAAGAAGTTTGCCTTCGTTACTATTTAGTGTCTTCTTTGCTGTAACCCTTTTGTATACGAAAAAGCAAAGACCATACGTGAAGATGCCAAATATGTCTTTTTTGCTATAACCACTTCGTAAACAGGTATACATTTGTCATATCAACTGTAACAAGACCAACAGGATACTGGTTCCATAGTGGGTACATAATAGGAAAATTTGTTGCATCGACTGAGGAAAAAAACGTTATTTGTTGCACTAAATAGGGTGCATTCTCATATATTGTGACTCAAGTTTTACTCCTAAAATGAACCAGGCTTCATGCACCGCAGGTGCACATTGTTCTTTTAAAATATTTAAATGGATCAAACACTACAACAAAATCGGTGTTTATAGGACATTACAATAACATACAAGTGTTGTAATAAAGTTATTTGTAGGATTTAAGTTTATAGACCAAATAATTGTGTGTGATATGTAAAAATTTGGGGGGGGGGGGGGTGTCGAGGTTGGGAGTGAGTCGTAGGTAGGAGTGGTAACTGGTTGTGGGTGGCGGTGTGATGGCGATAGTAGTTGCATGGTGGCGGCAATGGTATTGTGTGTGGGTGGGTGGCGACTGTGACGACGAACATTAGTGGTGTGGTGGTGAAGATGGGGTGGGTGAGTGTGGTTATGACAACTTTAACGGTGGTGATGGCAATGAAGGAAGGTTGCGGTGGGGGTGCGTGGATGGTGGAATGATGATATTAGTTGGTGATGGTAGTAGCAGTGGTCATAGTGGTGGCAATGACGATGTGGGCGGAGATGGTGTGCAGTGTGGGGTGGGGGTGGTCATAGCGGTGGCGATGACGATGATGATGTGGGCGGAGATGGTGTGCAGTGTGGGGTGGGGGTGTTCAATAAATTGGATGCAAAAGTTATTTTTGTTTTTTTAAACATTTGTCATAAAATGCAATTCAAATTCTTCACTTGTATCAAAGAATGATCAAATACCTCAATCATGGAATGGAATTCAATCAATTCATTACACGAACCAAACATGATCAAGGAGTTTGGTTAAATGAATTTGTCATTACAATTACAACAAATTCATTCGAATTATGCGAACCAAACATAATCAAGAAATTTGGTCAAAGGAATGTGTCATTTCAATTCCAACAAATTCTTCAAATTACGTGGACCAAGAAGCCTCCTAGGGGTCGGTTGGTTCGCATAATGGAATTTGGTGGAATTGGAATCTATCAAAGGAATTTGACTTTGAGGTGATGTTTGGTTTGCAGAATATTTTTGAATGAAATGAAATCTGTTAAAGAAATTTGACTTTGAAGGAATTGAAGTGGAATTCTTGTCAGGTTTGACCACCTGTTTGGTTGACAAACATTGGAATGAAATATGTTAAGGAATTGCAATCTGTCTGTTTGATTCACAGAACGTAGCTTTAGAAATGAAATATTGGTAAATGACCAAAATGCCCTTTTGAAAATATAAACTAAAAATAATTTAATAAAATTATTATTTAATATGTAAAACAATGTAAAATTCACAGTCCAAATATAACTATAAGCTAAATGATGTTACTAAATCAACGATGATCGGCGGTGGTTCAGATCGGTGGTGGTTCGTAGTGGTTCTGATCGATGGTGGTATGCGGTGGTTCAAATGGAGGCGATTACCGGTGGTTCAAATGGACGATGGTTTAGATCAGCGGTAACAACGATGGTTCAGATCGGTGGTTGTTCAAATCGACGGTGTCTAGTGGTGATTCAGATCGGTGGTAGTCACCGGTGGTTGGTAGTGGTTCAGATCGGTGGTGGTCTGTGGTGCTTCAGGTGGCGGTGGTCGGATGTGGTTCAGATCGGTGGTGGCCGACGGTGATTCAAATCTGTAGTAGTTGGCGGTGGTTCAAATTGATGGTGGTCCGTGGTGGTTCAAATGGTGATGGTCGGCAATGGTTCAAATCGGTCGTGGTTCATGGTGGTTCAGATGGCGGTGATCGACGGTGGTTTAGATTGACGGTGGATCAGATCGGTGGTGGTCGGCGGTTGTTCAGATCGGTGGTCTACGATGGTTCAGATGTCCAATGGTCGACGGTGGTTAAGATGGCGATGGTTGGCGGTGGTTAAGATGCCAGTGGTCGGCACTGATTCAGGTCGAAGGTGGTCGACAGTAGAGAATTCCATTATATCAAAATACCATGTAGTTGGTAAGAAATGTTAAATTTCTTTATTTGTGAAATTTGTAGGATTTTGAAGATTGCTTTCGTGAAAAAGAACGAACCACACGAGGGAATGAAATTTGATCAATGAAATTCAACATTTCAATTCCACCAGATTTCTTCAGAATCTGCGAACCAAACGCCATCTAAAGGAATTGGAATGGAATTTGATTACGTGTTTGGTTGGTTGGAGTTAGAATAAAATCTCTTAAAAGAATTGGAATCTCTATTACTGGCATGGTGATGTTGGTGGTCGACGGTGGGAGTGGTAGCTGCAATGACAACACTCTCTTTAGTGGTATTGGTGGCGGTGGGGTAGCACCAACCCCTCCTTTTCTACCCGTGTAGGTGGGTTGGGGGTTGTGATGATGACAAAGTAGCATGGCGGTGGTGAGGTGGGGGCGTGACAGTGATAATAATAACATGGTCGTGGTGGGGGGTTGGGGGTGATCGATTTTGGTTAAATTGGATGCAAAATGATAGAATTCAATTCTTTCCCTTGTGTCAAGGAATATGATGAATTCCTTAATTTATGAAATTCAATAGAATTTAAAAGACTCCATTCCTCTCAAAAAATGAACCAAACAAATGAATTGAAATTTGGTCAAATGAATTTGTCATTTCAATCACCTGATGTGGTGGCATGGGTTGCATGTGCCACCGTATTATTTCGCCGCCGAAGGGTAAAAAATTTAGGTTTGTTAACGGTGCTACCGTATCGTTTTAGAAGGTGTTACCGTATTTCCCTGAAATCAAATGGTGCAACTAAAACTCAAACAAAACAAAACCCAAATAACCAAAACCATACTTTTTGTAATTATTTTTGGGTATATATTGACCGTTTTCAAAAGATGAAGACGCGTCGGGTACAAGTTTAGAAGTTGTTTATCGGTACTTAGGGCTGTAAACAAACCGATCGAACATGAACGGAGGCTTGTTCATGTTCGTTCGTTTAACTTAACCGAACAAACGAATGAACACGAATGGTAAACGAGCGAAAATCTTTGTATTCGTTCATTTAGAAATAAGGTGTGTTCGTGTTCGTTTATGTTCCTTCGTAAACATGCTAAACGAACGTAAACGAACGAACATAAACGAACGGGCTAAACGAACATAAACGAACATAAATAAATATTATTTGAATTCAAAGTAAATAAATAAAAGATAATATATTAAACTTAATATATAAACGAACATAAATGAACGATAAACGAACGAACGAGACTCTTGTTCATGTTCGTTCGTTTAACTAAACGAACAAAAAATAGTTAATGTTCGTTCATTTATTAAATAAACGAACTTCCCGCCGAACGGTTCACGAACGGTTCGCTAAACGTTCGGTTCGTTTACATCCCTATCGGTACTATAAAAACCATATTTTTTATAATTATTTTTAGATATATATTATACTATATTAATTATATGGTGCCACTGTTTGAAATTTTTTTTGGGTCCGTCCCTGATTTCAATTCTATCAGATTTCTTCAAATTTTACGAACTAAACTGAGACTTATGTTGTCCTGTAATTCGATTGATATGTAATGTCAACTGAAATTTCACCTAATTCTAATGTTGGTACGCCAACAATTAAACATTTTCAACTTCATGTTATACGCACGTCATCGTGTTTAGCTCAAAATTAGGAAGAAATGGAAATGTTGTTTATTTTTTTGTTAATTCTAAAGTTGGATATGAAAAAGGAAATCAAAGTGGTTGTAATGCTTTGTATTCTTTCGACAATTACGTATTATAAATGTCTTTTTATGTCAAAAATATTGGTCTCTATCTTTTTTTTGCGAAAACAATATGTTCGTAAATTATGGAGGCCCATTTTCATTCAAGGGTTCTTTTATAAAGTAATCTAATAGTGTTTCACATATTTTCATATAAATTGGTTTCAATGCGTACAAAAATACTTTTTGTGAACTGGTTTGTCAGAATATGATGTCGAACGATAAACTGAAAGGTTATATTTGGATGAAAAACCGGGAAGATTATTAAGCACTACAAATTTATGTATATAGTGGATATGTGGATATATCTACTTGTGTATGTATGAATCATGCATGTATATATTATATGCTTAGAGGGGTCAAATGGTAACTTGGTAATCTATAATAACTGTAAGATTCAACGTAAGTAACTCATTTAAGATAATTATGTAATTTATCAAATAGATGGAAATTGATAATTTAGTAATAAAAAGACAAACTTATAAATGCGTTTGATTAGTTTATTCTCTTTATAAACAAGAAACTTATAACTTCCATAAGTAGGAAATCCATGATTCTTGTGTTATCCTTGAATCTTTGATGTTAGTAACACAAATGTATTTTCGTTGTTTACAATCATGTATCACATTGTGTATCTTAGGGTATCACAACGTGTATACAACTGTTATCATCGTGGACATCAGTAGGTAGAGGTAAGATCTTTTGTTAACCAAGAATATGATGTTAATTTTGTATACTTATTAAACCAATAAAATTCATTCTTCAGTAGAGGTTATTTCAAATATTTGATTAATAATAAAGGAAAATAAATATTTTTTATATGCAAGTTAACTTGATGGTATTTAATGAGATGTTACAATTTTTTATGTCTAAGTTACTTTTATGGTATTTATAGGTGTTCATAAAAATGTGTCCATAACCATAAGGCATTCATAATAATGTGATCATATGTATTCATAAGAAAATGTTCATTACCACAAAGGGTTCATGAGATTTTGTTCATAACCATATGGTATTCATAGGTGTTCATTTGTCATGGTCTTTTCCACAAATACCCCTGTTCTAGAATGTTCACCTGTGTTTTTTTTTGTTCAAAATTTCATTTATTACAAATATGCCATGATTTAATCCATATATTTCAAGGATTAAATGTTAAGATTGATTCACGTAGTTATGACCAATTATTGGGTTAACAAAAGAACCAGACCCTCGGTGGATATATAGAGCGAATGATCCTAATTAA